GTTAGGTATCTGAATAGGAAAGCAGATCTTTTTTTTTAAAAAAAGACGAACAACAAAACAAAAAGAAAGAAAAAAAAAAAAAACCCAAACCACCAGAACACTGGTGGGTTTGACTTTTTTTACTGTGTTGAAGCAGTGCACTTAAGAAATGTTAGACTTGTATTTAAATGAGAGAGAGGGAATCTGCTGAGGGCTGTTTCAGCAGCAGCCAGTCTTAAATTTCTCTTCCTGTGCTAGATGTGTAATCTTTGCTCTGATTTTCCTCCAAGAGTGTCAAGGAATAAGGACAGATCACCCTGCAGTTTTTTTTTTTCCGACACGAAATCGATACAGCCTGCTAGTTTTTCCTCCCCATTGCCAGCCTATATACCTGCAGCTCCTATTGTATAATTTTTCATGTTCATTCAGAGACTTTGTTGTTGTCAATGCCAAAGCCTTTTCTCTGTCTCTTCCTTGTCTTGTTTAGTAAAGGCATATAACATTTCCTGGGGAAAGATGCATCTCGCAGAAATCTCTGCCATCCTACTGGAGGCCTGGTGGGAGAATCTTCTGACTTACCTCCTCTGCTTCAACCTTGGAAGTCTTACAAGCCTCTCTGAGCACTTTATCGATCTCATAGTCACCATGTCTTCTGAGGAGAATTTTGTGTCACCTCTGCCATCACAAATGAGGGAATCAACTTCTTTTACTCGAGCATGTCAATCCTAGATTCCTGCTTCAGAGAACTCTGTTTTAAATTGTGGTGTAGTTGTGGTGTAGCTAAGGACTGATGCCAATGCAAAAGCAAAGGGGGTGTGATGTATTAAAGGAGTCCTGTGGGAATCCTTGATGGGTGCTGCTCTCTGACAGGGTCAGGCTTGCACGCGTGGGACAAGTTAGTGGAGACAGTGGTGTCTATGGCAGCAGCCAGCCATGGGTTTCACTGATTGCGACTAAAGATCCCCTTTATGCATAATAGCCTATTGGGATGAAGTGATGTGCTATGGTGTGGTGGGAATGCTTCAGGATGAGGAACGCAGGAGTCTATGTTGGGGATAGCAGTCTTGGCTGTTGTCTGGGGTCTGCTCCTGCCTTTTGAACTTTGTTGGAACTAGATAGGAAGCTGGCTAAGTTCTGGAAGGGAGCACTCTGATTGTATTGCAGAGCACTGGGGTAGGTCTTCAACAATAAATTACCTTAAGTATGCTAGGCAGAACAAAAGGTAAAGGAAAGAAATGTGTCTGCAGGTGTTTTGCTGCAATCAAGGTGCCTAGGGATGGACACAGAAATGGTAATTCTAGTAAGTTTTGTTGCAGCACGCTTGGTCTGCCAGCCTGTTTCTACTCTGTATGTGTTTGCAGAACATGTAAATGCTTTAAACTCTCTAAATGCATGCTTCTGACTTTGCTTTTTAGAGCCAGGGTAGCCCTGCTCCCGTTGTCCATGGTCCAGCAGGGTTTTGGGTAGCAAGGAGAGGTCCAAACTCTGTCCCACCTAACAAGCAGACCCTGAATTCTTCAGAGGAGGAAGAAGAAACAAGTGAAAATGGTGAGTTCTCAAAGAATTAGTAGGTGAAGAGAAAAGACAGGTTTAGAAGACTTTCAGTGCGCTTTTGAGTGTCAGAGTAGGCTCCTTAGATCTCCAAAGTATCTACTTATTGTGAGCTTTGAACATGTGTGAGCATGTTATTTGTCTTCATTGTCCAATACAAATGTGTCACTTGTCTTTAAGCTTGCTACGCCATCAGCCTTGTGACTGTAGGTGTGTAGCAAGCCAAGTTGCTGCTTAAAAATGCATGGTATAAATTTGGTAATGGCAACCTTGATACTTGGGGGAATAACAAACTGAGTATATCTTGAGCTTTTTGCTGCCTTTTCTGCACAAAACAAGATGATACTGAAAGTAGCTCATTAATGGATACACTGAAATGTAATTGTGGTAACTGCAGCTTTAAGTTTGTTTTTTTATTTTATTTTTTTCCCCTCAGTCAAAGCTTCCTATTCTCTCCCTTGTAGGGA